CTTGGGCCAATCCTCTGGGTCCTTTGCTACTTGCCAGTGTCTATCCCAAAATGTGATGCCCAAAGATGGTATATGTCTTACAAGGTGACGTGGGGAGAAAGCAGTGGTAGTAAAGGCTTCTAATCCCTTTACTACCACTGCCAATTTGTGAAGTATAACAGTGGACAGTCCTGATGGCTGAGAATGAGACTACCCACTTCCTCCTAAATCAACCAGCAGTATTATATTTTAAAAATCTTTTTTATTTCATTTTTAATTACCAAAGGGCATGCAAGCTCACCAGAAAGACAGAGACAGAAGGAGAAAGCACATGGTCTTGCCCCAATCTCTTCTCTTCCATTTTTCCATCTTATTGGGATTTGGGGCACGCACACATACCCACATGCATGTTGTGTTTTCAAGCTGCCAGCTCAGATTCAAACTGAGGTCAGCCATGTGTGATTCAGCTTGCCTTTTCCATAGGCTACAGAGCTGACCTCATCTTACAGGTCTTGGCTAAGTGAAGAGGTACCTGATGCTGAGGCCTTAGGGTTGTTTTAATTTGGATGCCATTGCTTATATACAGAGGCAATTAGTAGTTCTTCCATGATTCATCACTTCTTGTCTTTTCTGGGGTGTTTTCTTTCTTCAATTCATTATGTCAGTTATACCAAGTAAGCCCTTCCAATATGTGCTCTCTCTGAATGTGCAAAACAGCATTTCTCCACTTTATAGGTGAAGAAACTGAGCAATAAGAAACTTACAATACAGGAAAACTAATTTTTTTTTTTTTTTAAGAAAAGCTTACAATTGGGCCAGGTGGTAGCTCAGTAGTAGTGCAAATATAACCACAAAGGAAAGGTTCTGGGTTCATATCCCAGGACCTCCTTGAGCATGCTAGGCATGCAAGCATACCCACAATCAAGGCTGGCTGAAACTGGAGGTGGATCACGCTGTGGAGACCTGGCTGAAGGTTCCATCCCCCACCTCATCTCAGAAAAAATAAATAAGTTTAAAACAAAAACAAAAAGTACTGGGCTAGCCAATGGTGTCATGATTAAGGCTGCTGGATCCCATGTGACCAACTGTGAAGTTCTAGTCCCAGATCTGAAGGTTTGAAAAATGTTCTAGGTGTATATGCATTAAAGGGAGGGGAGATAGAGGAGAAGGGATCGCAGCATGACCACGGGGGATGAGGGGGGCTGACTGCTCCCTCTCTTTCTCTGCCTTTCTCTTAAAAGCATTGTGCCCTCTGACAAAATTTTAAAAAGGATGGACGGACGGACAGAAGGGAGGAAGGAAGGAAGGAAAGAAAACAACTATAGGTATTCGACTTCCACACTGATATGTTTCTTCATTTATTCAACATTTTTTGGAGAAGAGTCCTTCTCTGAGACACTTTGCAAAGTGAGTTAACAGGGCCAAGTATCTGAAATAAAATTATGAGGAAAGTTCAGAAGGAAACTGGGAATTTCCATAACCCTGTTTCTTCCCACTTCTACTGAGAATTTACTTAATTCTCTTTATAGTTTTTCCTGGCCTAGAGCTAATAATGACCAGGTAATTATCGGCTGTGGACAGCAATAACTGACTAAAGGCTTGAAGAGGATGTACATATCCTCTTATATAGTTGTCAAAAGAGGTAATAAATATGTAGCTGTCCCCAAAAGAGTGCCCCCCTAAGCAGGTAAATGGGAGTCATCTGGAGAAAAGGCACGCCCTGTAACAAAGCAGTCCATGATTCATCACTTCTTGTCTTTTCTGGGGTGTTTTCTTTCTTCAATTCATTATGTCAGTTATACCAAGTAAGCCCTTCCAATATGTGCTCTCTCTGAATGTGCAAAACAGCATTTCTCCACTTTATAGGTGAAGAAACTGAGCAATAAGAAACTTACAATACAGGAAAACTAATTTTTTTTTTTTTTTAAGAAAAGCTTACAATTGGGCCAGGTGGTAGCTCAGTAGTAGTGCAAATATAACCACAAAGGAAAGGTTCTGGGTTCATATCCCAGGACCTCCTTGAGCATGCTAGGCATGCAAGCATACCCACAATCAAGGCTGGCTGAAACTGGAGGTGGATCACGCTGTGGAGACCTGGCTGAAGGTTCCATCCCCCACCTCATCTCAGAAAAAATAAATAAGTTTAAAACAAAAACAAAAAGTACTGGGCTAGCCAATGGTGTCATGATTAAGGCTGCTGGATCCCATGTGACCAACTGTGAAGTTCTAGTCCCAGATCTGAAGGTTTGAAAAATGTTCTAGGTGTATATGCATTAAAGGGAGGGGAGATAGAGGAGAAGGGATCGCAGCATGACCACGGGGGATGAGGGGGGCTGACTGCTCCCTCTCTTTCTCTGCCTTTCTCTTAAAAGCATTGTGCCCTCTGACAAAATTTTAAAAAGGATGGACGGACGGACAGAAGGGAGGAAGGAAGGAAGGAAAGAAAACAACTATAGGTATTCGACTTCCACACTGATATGTTTCTTCATTTATTCAACATTTTTTGGAGAAGAGTCCTTCTCTGAGACACTTTGCAAAGTGAGTTAACAGGGCCAAGTATCTGAAATAAAATTATGAGGAAAGTTCAGAAGGAAACTGGGAATTTCCATAACCCTGTTTCTTCCCACTTCTACTGAGAATTTACTTAATTCTCTTTATAGTTTTTCCTGGCCTAGAGCTAATAATGACCAGGTAATTATCGGCTGTGGACAGCAATAACTGACTAAAGGCTTGAAGAGGATGTACATATCCTCTTATATAGTTGTCAAAAGAGGTAATAAATATGTAGCTGTCCCCAAAAGAGTGCCCCCCTAAGCAGGTAAATGGGAGTCATCTGGAGAAAAGGCACGCCCTGTAACAAAGCAGTCCATTAGCTGTCAGTAAGATCAGCAGAAACTGTCCAAAAGTAGACACGCAAATAGAATTGGCTGTCATTTTTCCCCATTTTATATTATCCAATATCCCAAGACCACTGCTTATGCAATTAACTAAGACTCCAATGTTAACTCTTTATTTGCAACCTTTTAGTCCAACAGGCAAGCTTCTCATGGAGTCAGTAATTTAATCAAATTATATGCAATTATACTTTAATTAAAACTATATATGCATAAAGTTGAAATCCTGATATTTAAATCAAACTGAATTCACAATAAGATTAAAAGAAATGTGAACAATTTAATATAGATTAGAATCAAATACAAAATTAAAATCCAGCTCTGTCTTCCTACCTATAGGGTAGGCAAAGCCAGGTGGTCAGGAGTTCTCAACGTTACACTGAGCTGTAACTCTGAGGTTCAAATTCAAGTCTGTTCATGTGGGACTTCCCCTGACATTGAACTACTCTCAGCTTCACTTAAACAAGCCCAGGTCTGTCCAAAACAAAATCTATAAGGCATGGGTCAAAACAGCTAAAGTGATATAAAAGGTGTTGGTTTTAGGCCTTTGCAATTTCAGGCAACCTAATAAAAGTCCTTGGGGACTATGTTCTGTAAGCTTTGACAGAAACTCAATTTCTTTCTTATTAGTTATCAACTAAACATTCAATTTCAAGGGCAATTTCAAGGCCTTACATTTTGCCCCAAATCTTTCTTCCCCATAATAAACAGAATTAAAAACAAGAAAATATCTAGGGACCAGCAGTTAGCATAATGGCTATGTCGCTGGACTCCCACGTAGTCGACCGTGGTTCGAGTCCCAGACCCGGCGGCTTAAACTCACGCCAGGTGTGTGTGCGTGTGTGCCCAAGATCCCGAGAGGAGAATGGAGGAGAAGGGACTGCGGTGTGGCCATCACCCCTCTTGGAGGTGATTTCTCACTTTCTGTCTTTCTGTCTCTCCCTGTCTGTTTGGCGAGCACACGTGCCCTATAGCAATAAAACCTCTCCAAAAAGAAAAAAAAAGAAAGAAGAAAATATGTAAATTATGATGTCCATTTGTCCATTTCCCCAAATAAGAATAATATTTTTTTTCTTTCTTCTTTACTATACTAAGTTTCCATTACTCTGTTTTTAAATCAATAGCATGAAATTACACAAGAACTTTAGGTTCTCTTCTCAACAGTCAAGTTTTAGTTCTTCCACAACTTGACTCCTGGGCAACCACACTTTCTTTCACAGAACACAAAAATAATTATAACCTTTAAACAGATTGTTCTAAGAAGGAGCACAAAGTGAATTTCAAAAAGCAATGAAGGGAACAGCAGTTGGTATAATGGCTATGTCACTGGACTTCCATGTAGTTGACCACGGTTTGAGTATCGAACCCGGTGGCTTGAACTCATGCCAGGCACATGTGTGTGTAGACCCAAGATCCTGAGAGGAGAATGGAGGAGAAAGGATTGTGGCGGGGCCAACTCCTCTGGGGGGTGATTTCTCTCTTTCTGTCTATCTTTCTCTTTCTTTCGAGTGCACATACCCTATAGCAAAAACCTCTCCAAAAAAAAGAAAAAACAATGAATACTTCAATTGACCTGAATGTCTATTATTTATTTTGTGTCTAACATTGTTTGTATTCTCCAGAACTTATCTGGAGTATTTGTTAGTGTGCTCCACCACCAACACCGGTGTTTCTACTGTTTCTACTTTCACACACAAGTAATGCCCACACTAAGCCACTCCCTTATAAACAGTTCACACTCTCACAGAATCCCTTCCTCCACCACCCCAAAGCCCCCTCCATAGGCAGACACCTTTTTAGACTTATTCACCTTCTCCCACATGCCGAACACACAAACAAAAAATCTCTTCTGGGCATCATCTTAAACTATTACATTCCACCAAGGTCTGGCTTGCACCACTGAACCACAGAAAAAAAAAAAAAAAAACATTAAAATTGACAACCTGAAAGCCATGTTAATTTGATAAACTCTCTCTTCAAGCCTTGAAAACATCTGGAAAGGCCTCCATCTCTCAAAAACTGGCTCTTTCAAATCTCTCCTTAGAAATCAAGGCATGGTAATCACTTGGCCTTCAGACCCTGATGCCTCCCCCAGAAACACAAGCTCAGAGCCCAAGGGACACTCACTGCAAATCTCACTTGGCAGTTCTCTTCCCCCAGGTAGCAGAGGTCTCCCGAGACGTTGGTCTCCAGCCACAGGTGTTCTCCATTCACAGCATTCTCCTGCAAGGAAAAGACCCACCTCACTTGAGTTTTATTTTTATGGATAAAGCAAGGAGATTTCAAATTCAGATCTGGGGCACAAGCAAGTTAGTGAGTTACCTCTCCAAGTACTGCTGGCAATTCTACCAATGTTCTAGAAATGGAAAGGGTGTCTGGAAAAACTCTGAGCTATAACAAAAATAGACATTGGGTCTACTGCTGCTTTCTCCATAAATGTGGACACATATGCAAACAGATAAGGGGATTCAAAAGTCTGTGGAAATTTTTAATTAAAGCTCAGTTTCAGTTTACTTTTGTGCGAATTTTTTAATTTATGCATCATTTATTCATAATATGCATTCTCCACGAACTTTTTGAAGACTTCTTATATATTCAATAAACAAGGAAGAAAATACTTCTGAATAGTTTTATGTAAAGCTTTATTCATCTATGCCCAGCTCTGCAAATTCCATGATAATTGAGACCCAAACTCTATTAAAATGTACCTTTACTTAGCGAATTAGCTAAGAAAGAAGGTGGTAGTATTAAAGTACTTTAAATAAAAGCTGTTTGAAAACACATTTATATTAGAAATCGGTAAATTATACTTCTAAGGGCAGAGGCTTCTTAAAATGTAGTTGAAGTCCCTGTGCACTCAACGCATAACACATTTCTACTAATTCAAACATTTTACTGATCTAATAAGGCCTTCACCCAATTCATTCTAAGGTTTTCCAACTGAATAATTTTACTGCTTCTAAAAATACTCATATACTTCTGATGGCAAGCAGACATGCTATGATGTATGAGGAATAATCCTGTTGTCCAGAAATGTGCAGTGTTTCACTGGGAGGAAAGTGGTAAACATTTGTTTTTTAACAGTATAATGAATAGGATTTTCATATTCTTTTTGTTACGGTATACTACCTTGTAAGTAATGGATTTATATATTAATTGTATATTTTTCTCATTTGCTTAAGAGGGGCTCTGCGGTATTAGGGAAAGCATTACATTAGATTGACCATGAAGGAATAAGACTAAGACTATATAACTCTTGCAGGACAACTGCTCTTGCTTTTATCTTATTCATCAGATGGATGTCATCACACAATGATTTTTTAATGGGGCATGCTACAGAATGAATGGTGTTCCTCCCTACCCCCCAAATCTATATTGTTGAAACCCTAACTCCCAACATGATGTTATTGGATGATGAGCCTTCTGAGAGGTAGTTAGGTCATCAGGGAGGTGTCCCCTTGATGGGATTAGTGTCCTTAGAAAAGACACAAGTGGCCCAGAAGAAGTAATATACACTGGATGCTGCTATTGAGCAGGCTGAAGCTACATGTGAGGCCTGGGTTCAATTCCGAGCCCACTCTAAAAGCCAGGTAAGGTGGTGCACATCAGTAGGAGGCTGAGGCAGGCAGATCACAACTGAGTGAGACCCTGACTTAAAAAAGAAGAGACACAGGAGAGCTCTCTCTCTCTCCACATGTGCACCAGGGAAAAACCATATGAGCAAACAGCAAGAAAGTGGGGAAAGGAGATTGTAGCATTCCAAGATCCAGTTGAGGGTGCTCCTATCTCTCTCTCATACATTCTCTATCCTAAATAAAATAATAAACTAAAGAAGAAGGAGGAGGAGGAGGAGGAATAACCACAGGTTGTGACATGTGATCTAGGTGCTTCATAATCCAAGAAAGCTCAGGGTAAGACCTAGATCAGGAAAAGTGAGTTATGAACTGGCAAGAGAAAGTGACTGGGTGTGTAGGTGTCAAAGGCTCAGGGAGAATTCATAGGGAGTGGGATGTGCCATGCACATCTCCAAGTGCCTCACCGTCACTGCTACAAGGAAAGCAACGCTGACAAGGATCATCACTCTATGTCAAATGGTGGCCACCTTTCCAAACTTTTTTGGAAATTTTTGCCTGTAGTAAAACACATTCAATATTTTTTTTGGGGGGTGGGGTGGGCAAGGATAAGTGAGCTTCCCCTCACATCTGTCTTGTGAGACACAACAGAAGAATGAAGAAAGGTTATAGTTTGGACATCAAAGTTCTCAGATAGTGGTAGATGATGGCTATACGAGTTTGTGTGTATCCCCCCAAAATTCACATGTGGAAATTTGCTGTGATAGAATTAAGAGGGTAAAAGCTAAATCCAACTATAGTTTTGAAAGGCAGGGCCTTTAGGATGTGATTAGATTAGATGAGGTCATCACAGTGAGGTCCCATGATCAGATCCTAGTAGGTTTATAAGGAGAGGGCATGGGACAGAGACATGAGCACAGACATCCAAGCCTGCACAGGATGCTCTGCCTTTCTCAGGACTCTGAAGAAAGTCCCCACTAACAAGAAGACCCTAAGCAGAAACAGCCGTTGACCTCAGACCTCCAAAACCATGAGCTGACTAAACCTCTATTCTTCGTAAATTGCCTAGGGTGGCCCCGTTGCTAGAGACAGAAAAGCAGACTAAAACAATGACAATATTAAAAATGATAAAGGAAAGTCACTTTGGGGCCAGCAAGTGGAGCAGTGGTTAATGCATTGGATCCCCACACGGTGAACTGCTGTTTGAGTCCCAGACTTGGCAGCTTGAGAATTGCTCCAGGCGCAAGTGTGTGCATGCCTGAAATTCTGGGAGGAGAATGGAGGAGAAAATATTGCAGCATGGCCATCCTCCCTGGGGGGTGATTTCTCATTTTCACTTGCTCTATCTCTATCTCCCCTCCAGCAAGGCAAAAAACTAAAAAAAATAAAAAGTTTTTTAAAGTTAAAAAAAACAGAAAGGCACTTATTTGCAAGGTATACTGATGAAATTAATCCTCACAATCTAAAATATTCTGGGAACATAACAAACTTTAACTTCAAACGATATATATGAAATAATATTTTTCATTTTATTATTCTTTAATTCACTCAAGAAACGTTTATTCCACTGGTGCCGGACATTAAAATGGTATGGTAATTCACATAGCAAAACCTACTAGGAAGATTAAAAACTAAACACATAATAATAGCTCAAATACTAGGGAAACCTAGCCAAGGCAAAATCTTGTCAACTCTTTTAGAAAGTGAAATGTAAAGGGTTGCAGTCAGGAAAAGGTTAAAAAAAAATTATTGATAATATGCCAATTCACCAGGCTAGGACTGAAGTCCCCAAAGGTCAAGTCAGGCAGAAAGCAAGGCCTAGAAAATCAGAAGCTTGCAAGCACACCTCCAGCTCCCTGGCTAGTCAGTTAGATTCTGGGAGAAAGGCTCTCTGTGCCTTGCCACACTGCATCCCACCTGCAAGCATTCAGAGTATCTCAGATCCCAGGCACAGCAGGACTGCTAGTATTAGCTAACTTCGCTCTTAGGTGTGAACCTGATTCAGAAGAGAGAGCCCTTTGTAAGGAAAGAGAGGAATAAAAATGGAAGCGTCACTGTATGTCACAGTGGTCCTCACACACTACTTCTCAAATTCAGTTTCCCATTGGAATGAACTGGTGAAGTTTTTTTTAAATACCTGGGTACTGGGACCAGCAGTTGGCATAATGGCTATGTTGCTGGACTCCCATGTAGTTGACTACAGTTCGAGTCCTGGACCCCATGGCTTAATCTCACACCGGGTGCGTTTGCATGCATGCCCAAGATCCCAAGAGGAAAATGGAGGAGAAGGGATTGCGGTGTGGCCATCCCCCCTGGGGGGGGGGGTGTTTCTGGCTTTCTGTCTCTCTGTCTCTCTCTGTCTTTTTGGGGAGCTCACGCGCCCTAAAGCAAAAAAACTCTCAAAAAAAAAAAAAAACCCTGAGTATCATTCCAGAAAGCCTGATTCAACATACTCTACATTTTCCTTTTTTGGTGCCATGTTTTTGTTCATTCCACTGTTCCCACCTGGGAACATCTTCTTCTCTTCTTCCCTACAAATATCATCTTAAATAATACACATTTCAGAGAGTATCCATTTGTGCCAGACAGAAAAAAATATAACTCTTATTTCTAAAGGAAGATAACATTTCATCTGTACTTGTGAGCAATGAGACAACTCTCTACAGATAACAAGGGCACATCAAAAAGTTCCTGGCAAATGACCTACTCTGGTGGCACAGTCAACAGCATACTGAACTACAGTGCTAGAGACCAAACAGACAACCATGGGTTTCGATACCCGGGTTGGTCTGAAAAATTGGAAGATGGTGCACTTGTGTGCCCCAGATCTTGGAGGGCTGGGGAATGGGGATTGTGGTTCTGGGACTGATGCCAACAGTTTTAAAATCCTTGGACTAGCTGGTGGCATGGTGGTTAAGGTGGCTGGATCTCACATAACCAACTGTACAGTTCAAGTCCCAGACTTGGCAGTTTATAAAACACACCAGGTGTGTGTGCATGCATGCTCAAAGTCACAAACAGAGAGGAAAATGGAGGCGAAGGGATTACTCTGTGATCATCCACCATGGGAGTTGCTTTCTTACTCTCTCTCTCTCTCTCTCTTTCTCTCTCTCTCTCTCTCTCTCTCTCTCTCTCCCCCCCCCATAAGCACATGCAACCTCTGACAAAAAGAAAAAATTGAAAAATAGAAATATATGCATAGTTTTTTTAAATAACATGCATTTTCTATGAACTTTCTAAAGACAATTTGTACATACATTTACATATATAGATTTACATAGACCTATTTACTTAAGAGTAGAGATTCACCTAGCTAGACATAAATAAAAACATGTGAATCTATGTATCATTCTTTGCTCAAGTTCTACTAATAACAAGTCATGGTTATAAGTAAAAAGATAAAAAACTGAAAATAGTGTTAGAGACTAAGTGACATGGATAAAAAAAAAAAAAATGCACTCATGGGCTGACCCATGGCCTGGTGGTTAAGGTAACCAGACTCATAAGGCCAACCACAGTTCAATTCCCACTGAGGGGCTTGAGAAACATGTTGGGTGTATGTGCATGTATGCCCCGGATTCAGACAGGGTGGAGAAATGGAGAACAGGAGATTGTGGTGTGACCACACTCCATTGAGGGGAACTTTCTCCA